ATATATATATATATATATATATATATATATATATGTGTACTGTTTGTTATATCTGGAATTTGCTGCTGAATATTATTAGTCAAATCCAAGACCACAATTTTTTTAACTGGTACTCTTTAAAAGACCACTTTTAATAATAACACAATTGTGTTTCAGGGCAAGTCTTTGACAAGTAAACGACTGACAGGCCTCATGCAGTCCTCCTGACGAGTCCTGCTGTTTGCAGTTTGTTGAGGTGGAAGGATTGTGGCCATGACGGACCACATGTATGGACCACCCTCTCTCCAAAACCCACCCAAACACCGCACAGCTACCGACTCTAGATGGCAGCATGCAATAAGTCCAAACAAAAATCTCCGAATGGCGACAGTGCTGTCTGTGTCTATTAAACCCGTAACTGCAAAGACTGCATACATCAATGTCAGCTTTCCCAGTACCATCTAGAGAACCATTTTACGTTTGATACTTATAACCAAACTGCAGCAAGGATAGGACTGTCTCGCTGGATTACCGATTCAAAACATTCCTTGTCAGATATGAAATCAAGGTGTGCTGTTATCAGTCCAGTATGTCAACACTGAGCGTTCTGGTGAAGCGAGGATGCGTTTCAAATCTTCAGAGCATTCCAAAGGAGTGAAGAACATGACAAGGGCTTTCAGTGACTGTGTTCCCTCATTCAAGGTTTGCACAGAACTTTTCCTCATTTACTTTTTGTTGGACAGTCACTGAATATGAAGAATGAAAGTGGAAATGAAGGGGTTTGGAAAAGCACATTGTTATTACTCCTGCCATTTTGAAGAAAGTATAATTATTTCTTCTGTCTACAGGCCGTGTTATACTCACCTACAGTATTAGCACATGAAACTTCTAACTGAGATGAGAAAATGACGAAGAGCTATCTATACCTTTTAGACTCAGTTTTATTGAGGAATAAAGAAATATTGACCAGGATAATAAAAAGTGTTAGTATTTCAGGATGATTCAGAGCCCAGAGTATTGCTTTTGCACAAAAACTGCACCAGTGAGGAATGCTGGATCCCACAGATGCTAGTCCTGCTTGGTCGGTGTGTTTCCTGAACAGCTTTACAAAATCTCCAAATAACAACATTAAATTATTTAGGAACATCTATGGAGGACCATTTTGTCACATAAAAGATCATAATTGTGGCATTTCATAATTCTGAGAAAAAAAAGTCAAAATTATGACATACTAAGTAAATTATTAGATAAAAACATTGAAATGTATAACACAAAAAGTCAAAATTATGAGATACTAAGTCATAATTGACATAAAAATCATAATTATTACAAAAGTCAACCTTTACCGTCATAATTATGATTTCATCTCATAACTGTGACTTAATATTTCATTTTGACTTAGTATCTCATAATTTTGAAACCAACACATTGGTCCTTGTTGACTATGTTTGTCTTTGCTTTAATGAATGGTATTGTAAATTCTGTGTAGAATGTAAGCGCTTAATGTTGCTTTGTGTCAGTGTTTTGATTAGTATGATGATGATGATTTGCTCTGAGCACAAACATTTGGGGATCACAGCCCTTCACGTTCAAAATATCAACAGTAGACAATGTTTTTGTGGGACTACCATCCATTAGAAAGGAGTTTTTCATTGCAGGACATTGAATAGCCAACCACTCTGCATTTCTGTATTTTTTGCTTGCATCATTTCCTGAAGCAGCGTCACTGCCAGAGACACACAGACTTTTGCTGCTGGAACACATGAATTCTCTCAGCAGTCTTTAGCCCACAAATTTAAACGCAGTCAAATGGCAGAACATAAATGTGTGCAGCTGATATAGCACGTTTCCTCTACACATTTTCAGGTAGTTGTTTTGTTTGCTCATAACTGTACATTAGGTTGAAATGGAATGTATAGACTTTTGCAGCAATCCTGGATATGGAAGATGCTGTGTAGAATATAACTTAGAGGCACAAGTGCCATATTCGGCACAAAACTATGCATGGAATATTTCTAAAGAGTTTTACTGCTTGTAGGCTTTTTTCATTGGGATCCAGTAGATCAAGATAATGGAAAGGAGGACCTGAGTCCTGAGACATTCAATAAACATTCAAAATGGAGAGCTCTGGAATAGAATGCTTTTTCATTTTTCTCTGCATGGACAGCATTTTGTGTCATATTTTTAGCTCAAACTGTTCATGATGGTTCATCAAACATGTATTAAATGTTGAACTTAGCAATACACATATAGCTACATCAGAGCCTTGTACTTCAATAAGCTAGATTTGACTTCAATAAAGCCAGTGGGGTAGGATCTCATAATACTGAACTGCTAACACAGGGGTGTCCAAACTTTTCCTAAAGAGGGCCGGATTCGACGATGTGGAAACACTGGGGGGCCGGATGCTTCTACCTATATATATATATATATATATATATATTATGTATGTGTGGTATGGT